CAATACTAAAATATCCAGCGCATCTGGGTCTCATAGATGTGCAGATTGCAATCCAACCATGCCTGCCCGCCCTGTACTGCTATTCGTGTCTAGTTCACCCTAATAAGTTCAACTCGGTGGTCCACTTGTTGTGCTAGTATCCTTCCTTCCTTTCTCTTGACAGCTGAGGATACTAGGGTAGTACGTGGGTTATTCGAAGGTTACTCCTTCCTCTTGCCTCATCACCCCATTTTCCTTTTTGACCATACAGCTCTTTGACAGCATTCTTTACTCCCATTCTTCTTCATACTTCCTTGTTTGTTATGTGGCCTATTGAGACAATAGCAGCTACCGCTGCGGGATAGAGATTTTATCTATGACTTCGTCGGCCTAGGGGAACTCGCAGTAAGAAATTTCTACTGGGACAGGTTGGGGCCTCCTCTGCAATTTACAATCTTTGAGAATTACCTAAAGCACTGAGTTCACTTAATTTCCTAGGACCACTCAGCAAGGCTATGTCAAAGGTAAGACTTGAACTCAATTCTTCCTGGCTTCCAGGATGGTTCTCTATCAATTAGACCACACTGCCTTTCAATATTCTGATTTTTTTTTTCCCCCAGTGTGAACAAAAGCATATGACAAAGGTTGAAGAAATATTCTTCTGGTTGTGTCACCAATGGGTGCCACTGTAAACGTGAGAAGTGTGTTTTCAAAAAAGATTTTTTTTCTTCTGTGGCAGGAAAACTTTTTGGTGTCTATACTAAGCCCAGAGGAGCTAGATGGCTTAGTTGATAGAGAGCTAGGCCTGGAGTCAGGAAGACCTGAGTTCAAATTTGGTCTCACTCACCAGCTGTGTGACCCTAGGTAAGTTACTTAACCTCTATTTGCTTTAATCCATCGGAGAAGGAAATGGCAAACCACTCCAGTATCTTTGCCAAGAAAATCCCGCAGACAGTATGGTTTACAAGGTCATAAAGAGTTGGACATGACTGAATGAACAACAATAAAACTGAGCTCAGAAGGATGACAAAAAGATATCATGTACATACAGGTCATAAAGGAAGCAAGGACAGCTTGGGAAAAATAATTGAATTCAGAGTTCTGGGCTCCAGGGAGCTGGGCTCAAACCCCTGCTCTGACACTGACTGCCTACATGCCATTGAGCAAATCATTAATCCTTTCTAGGCCTCAGATCTTCATATATAAAATGAGGAGAGTGGACTAGATCAGGGCTTCTGAAACTTTTTCCACTTGCAACCCCTTTTCACCCAAGAGATTTTTACATGACCTTGGTTATTTAGGTATATAAAATAGGTATATAAATCATAAATTATAATAAATCATAAATAAATATATTTTTAAACAATTCTTTGGTATACATATAATTTTATCATTTATTAAAGATGAAAGCAAATTTGTACACTAATGGGATAGATTTGCTTATTTTTTACATAATGAATTAAATCTTGGTGGAATATTTGAGGCTGCAGGATGTGGAGCCTCTTCAACATTTTTCAGAGTTGATTGATATTTTTTTTCAGAGTTGATTGATATTTTAATTTTATAACGATCAATGCGGAGAATGCCTCTTTGCATAAATACATAGTACAAAATGGCGGAAGTATGCTTAGGGCCATTTCAGAAATTGTTGGAAATTCTCTCCTAATCCCAAGCCAAAATTTATTTAATTATTTTTTAGGAAACAAGTTTTAAACCTGTATTGCTTGATAACTTGGCAAATTCTTCTTGAACTTTTAATGGCAGATGACTGCCATTTTTGATTTTGAGTATGGTTTAAGAACCCAACTTGGTTTTTTAGAATCAAAATTTGAAGTGAAATATTTCTGAAACCATCTCCAGGCACTTCAGATGATCAATTATAACTCTTACAATTAAATCTTTGGGAAGATTATTTTCAATTATAAAATCATCTGTAGCTGTAAACATTTCTAAAGAACCATTTTCCACCCTATTCTTCCATATGTTAACATTTTTAGTAAAACTTTCAATTTTATCTTTTAACATAAATGTTACAATTTTTTCCTTGAAGCAACATATTTAAATCATACTTTTTCAAAAACATCTGATAAGTAACACAGTTTTGAAAGCTATAAGTCATTATGAAAAAAATTAACAAAATTGGATTTCTGCTCGGTCAAAAATACAACAACTTCATCTTTCAATTTCAATAATCTGTTTAAACTTCACCCTCTTGAGAACCATCTTGCCTCTACATGTAGTAATCAGAGTCCATGTGTTTCCAAATGTTTGAAAACAAATGACTATTAAGGGCATGGCTTTTAATGGAGTTAATGATTTTGATAGTATCGTGAAGCACAACATGTAACTGGTGATTTTCTTTTGGGCCATGAGTGCCTCCCAATGGATCATGCAGTGAGTAAAATGATATATTCATTGCCACCATTTTAACTTTTGCTACAAGTCCAACATTCTCGCCCATCATTGCTCCAGCACCAACTGTACAGACTCCAATGCAATCTTTCCACTGATTCATTTGTGAAAAATTCATCAACTTTAAGATATATACCTTCCCCTCTTGCACACCCTTTCAAAGAGTGACAAAACAGCAATTTCTCGTGTATGCTTCCTTCATAAAGATATTTCACATAAAGTAACAACACATGTTAGATATATCAGTTGTTTGATTTTACTGAATTGCAAACTTTGGGCTGCCCTTAAGCCTGATAATAAGCTGCTGGAATTGGTCATTACTAATTTCAGAAATTCTTTTGGAAACAGTATCACTTGATAAAGGAATTTTACGAATTTCATCTCCACACTTTTCCCCATGAACCATTTCTGATATTTTAATAGCAGCAGGTAACATGAGACCTTCTATCACATGGGGCTTTTTGATTTTGCAATTAAATAAGAAGTTTCATAAGCTGCAAGGAAATACTTTTTATTGACAGTAATAAAATTTCTCAAAACACTGTTTTTCTTTATTTGAAGATTTCTTTTCAAAATATTCCTTTGGTTTATTGCAGTATGCTGTATGCTTGGTATTAAGATGTCTTTTTAGTTTGGCTGGTTTCATGCTCTCTGCAGCCAAAATTTCATTACAAATTAAGCAAAGAGGTTTTTCCATACCATCATCATTATTAGAAATAAATCCATATTGCAGAAATGATTCAAATATTTTTGTTCTAAAATATGAATAAATACTGCTAATAATTTCTCAAATAAATACTAGCCTTAGTTTATGAAATTACATTTGTTTGTGCAATAGTACGCATCTTGTGTGTTCAGAATCAAGGCTGCAATGAAGTTGTACAATGCAAGCACTGTCAGAACCACTCAGGTTCATCACATGCTTGATTTTGAAATAATTTTTGGTCATGCATTCAGAAAACTTTTACTCTTGCCAAATTTTTCACAACCCCAACATTCACTTGTATGACCCCATATGGGGTCGCAACATACAGTTTAAGAAGCACTGCCTTAGATGAGCTAAAACACCTATAAAAGAGAATCTAGGTCATTTAGGAAGTATTTCTGTGGGCTTAGGGAAGGAACAGGGAGACCAAAAAAGAACAAAGATTCTGTTGGGGGAACTTGGAGACTGGGCTTCAATTGAGCATGTGTGTCTCTCAGCATACACACTCTCCTCGTGTTAACTCAGGTACACTATCAGTCATTGAACATGATTATAAATGAGCTAAACCCCTAAAGTTCACCAAGTACTTCACATTTTGCACCTCAACACACTATGTGGCACTAAATTTTCAAAGAAATAATAAGACTGATTTTCTTACGTGGGGATGGGATTTTGAGAGAAGAGCAAGGTATGGAAATCTAGGGCTGCTGCCAGAAGCTCCAGACCATCTTCTCAGCAACTCCCAGGAAGTGTGTGTCAATCTATCTTCCTAGAGCTCCACTTACCATCCTTGTAACTAAATTACTCATACCTGGCCACCACTCCCCTATATGACTTGTCTTCCTCTTTTAGAATGTAGGTTCCTTAAGGCAAGGATGACACTGAATTTACGATCTTTGATGACTGTGAGGATGGCCGTGCTATCAATAGTAATAGCAAAGTATATAAGCGGGGAAGATAAGGGAGGAAAAGATGAATTACTCTTTCGGCATGTTGAGTTTGAGATGTCTATGGGACATCTAATTTCAAGATTTCCAAGAGGCAGATGTGTGACTTTGGTCAACAGAGAGATTAGAGCTGGGCATATAGTTCTGGGAATCAATTGCATAAAATCCCCATCCTCATAAATGGGAATTTATGAGATCACTGTGTGGAATGGTATAGGACCAGACCTGTACAACTTCACAGTAGGTATGGGCCAAAATTAAAATAGGCTAAACTTCTTCAGGCCACAGATAAGTTTTTAATGGCTCATTTTCCAAGTAAAGGTATAATTAATGATTAAACTATTTTGCAAATAAGCCATATTTTCAAAAAGGGAAATTTCAATTAATATCAATTAATTACACTTATTACTTAAGATTTGTATTTATCATGAAATCACATTAATGTTTAAAAAATTACTTTCCTAATAATAATCCAGAAACTACAATCAGCAAACACTTCTTTATGAAGTCACCTTCAGTAAAAGACTTCCCAGCAGCATCAATTTTTTTAGAAATCTGAAAACTAACCTTAGTACTGTCTCATTTTCTGAGTTTACTTTCTCAAAAAACCATTGTTCCCCACCGAGATTTTTTTTTAAATTTGTATGCTTTAATTTATTTTTCGTTGATGTTCAATTGGCTTAAGTCTGAATGTTTTGATTTGAAATGGCAATGAAGACTGTATTCCTTCTGAATGGCTATTACTTCTCAGCAAACAAGGCACAGCATTTTGCCTCTCGTGTAACTAAACAAGTATCTATTTGTCCCCTCTGGATTAAACATTATACTCTGATTCAATCTTCCATTTCTTTTTATCATCCATTTTACAAAGTCACCCCAAAAACTTTAATGTTAGAACCAAAAACTCTCCACAGCAACCGCTCACCTACAAAGAAATACTGAACTGAGTATCTGACCTTGGCAAGAGTACAAGACACTCATGCAGCTTGGAGGGCGGCCACACAGCAAGGAGCGGGTAGGGAAGCCCTCACGTTGTTGCCACTTATTACATAGTGTCTTGGCCCATGGCTTCACTTACTTGGTCCCTGTTCAACGCCGGCAATGACTGAAAACAGCAAAAAAAAATAGGACTCTCGCTCCTCTCAGACTAGAGACAGATTGACGATGGTTGGTTGCTGTGGGTCACGTGACAAACAGGAGCGCGTGCGCAGTGGCAGCCCACCCGCCAAGTTACTTGATGGGCACCATAGTGACTAGTGGAAGAGGTTTAAGCAGGGGACGAACAAAGCACTCATTACTTTCTTTTATGGCCTCTGCATTTTTGGGGGGGCTCCTGAAATCTTTTGGCGGACTGCAAGCAGCTGCAGGCCACATGTTGTGCAGGCCTGGTATAGGACAAAAAGAAAAGTGACCCAAGTGGAGGCACGAAGGATAAACCGCTTTCTCAAAGAGTTTAGCCCAAAAGGCGAGGAGCTATAGAAAGAGATCCTGAAGGGATAACTGTTTCTTCTAACAAAGGGCTATTAGGATTCAAGTACTTGATCATCATTTAGTTCCTAGAAATTGTTCAGACCTATTTAGTTTTCTAGGTTTTTCTTGTCCCCTGTGTTTGAGTTTCAAAGATTCCACCCAGCTCTGGAGTGTTAGGAATGCGTAAAAGCTCCATTTTTTTGGTTAAAGGTCCATTCCAACCCCAAACCCCAAAAGGATTATGCTCAGTTTTGCAAGATAAATTGTTCTTGGTCATAAGCCTTTTTTTTTTTTAGCCTTTTAACAAACTGTACTGTTCTTTATGGAGGTAGCTCTCAAGTCTTTTGTTATACCAACTGTGGCTCCTTAATACTCAAACTCCCTCTGGCTGCCTGAAGTACTTTTTTCTTTTCTCTGGAAACTGGATTTTGATAGGATGTTTCTGAGTACTTTCAAATTGAGGTTTCTTTAAAGATATGACTGGTAGATTCCTACAGTTACTAAGAGATCTGGGGCAGTTTTCTTTTGTGATTTCTTAAGATCATATACATATACATATTCTTGGGAAAATGGCAGAGTAAATCAGAAATTTCCAGACTCTCCAGATATCCTCCACAAATGGACAGAAAATTGCCATGAAATGAACATAGAGCAGCAAAAATAAAAAGGTAAAGCAGTTGTCCTCCTACAACAACTTGAGAGAACCTCAGAAAAGACAGGGCCTCCAGGGCTGAGGTTTGGCCTGAGTAAACACCTCCCTCCAGGAGACCACACTGAATCAACAAACAGCAGGTCCTGAGGGCAGCTCCACTGAGAAGCCAGAGTAGGCCTCAAGAAATTTCACTTCAGCTATCACCTTATTCAGGGTCTTGAGAAATTTCGCTTCACAAACTTTTATCTAAGGAACAGTAGACAGCTGAGAGAGGGGAGATTGAAGGACCCCCTGCTTTTTCCGGAAGGCAGGCCTTGTGGTGCTGAGCAGGCATGAAACCAGGCTATGGCTATGAACAAGGAGGAGGGAACACACACACTGTGAGTGTAACACCACAAGGAGCAAGGTTACATTTTCAGGACAGCATGTCTGGAGGCCCTAGTTATGGCTTGGGAGAGGAGTCCCTGAGTTTGAGCCCCATCCCCGGGACAGGATTCAGAAAATAACGGTAAGGAAGACCTGAGGCCTAGAGCAACATTACCCACAAATCAGGATTAAAACCTGATTATAATAATAAGCTGCTAAAAAAAATAAAATAAAACAAAATAGAAATAAAAATGAATAAGCAAAGGAAAAAAACCTGACCATAGATAGCTACTTTGGTATAAAAGAATACCTAGGTTCATATTCAGATGAAGATAGGTTAAAAAAAAAAAAGCTACTCCTCCTCCAAATAATAACATCAAAGGGTCACAAGTCCAAAAGCAAGTTCTTAGAAGAACTTAAAAAAGAATTTTAAAAATCAAATATGAGAGATCGAGGAAAAATTAGGAGAAAAAAAAACCAAAAGCAATCCAAGAAAATTATGAAAAGGAAGTTAACCAAATGGAGAAAGAGGTCCAAAATCTTAAGGAAGAAAATAATTCCTTAAAAACTAGAATTGGACAAGAGGAATTGAATGACATTATAAGACACTAAGAAATAATAAAACCAGGGAAAAAATGGATGATCAAAAACTGAATCTGGATACAATATTACAAGAAATTATTAAAGAAAATTACCCTGAAGTTCTAAAACAAAAGGGTAAAGTAGAAATAGAAAAAATATACCATTCACTGCCTGAAAGAGATCCCAGGAGGAAAACTTATAGGAATGCCATAGCTAAGTTTCAAAACTCCTAGCTTAAGTAGAAAATATTGCAAGCAACAACAGCAACAAAAAGTTAAAAACTGCAGAAATACAGTCAGGATTTAACAAGACCTAGCAGTGTCTACTTTGAAAGACCATTGGTCTTAGAACATTATATTTTGATGAGCAAAAGAGCTGAGGTTGTGTCCAAGAATAACTTACCTAGCAAAGCTGAGCATAATCCTGAATGAAAAAAAGATGGACATCTGACAAACTGAAAGACTTTCAGGTATTTATAATAAAAAGACAAGAACTCAATGGAAAATTCAACATAAAAGATCAAGAAGAAATATAGGAAACTTTAAAGATAAGGCACTCATTAAGGTCAAACTATTTACTTATACATGTGAAAATGTTATCAGTATTCTTTTATTTATTTTTTTTTGGGTGAGACAATTGGGGTTAAGTGACTTGCCCAGGGTCACACAGCTAGTAAGTGCATTGCGTCAAACTGGATTTGAACTCACGTCCTCCTGACTCCAAGGCCAGTGATCTATCCACTGCGCCACCTAGTTGTCCCAGTATTCTTAAAACTGTCATCATTAAAGTAACAGGGATAGGGTAAAAAAAAGAGGCTGAGAAAGAAAATAGTGAGTAAAAATAAGATGAAGGGAAATTCACAAATAGTAATTATAACTTTGAATAAGAATGGGATAATTATAGGGGATCTCTTTGTGGTGGCAAAGAACTAGAATTGCAGGGATCCCCATCAACTGGGGAATGGCTGAACACATTGTGGTGTATGGCTGTGATGAAATACTACTATGCTATAAGAAATGATGACCTCGATGATGCCTTAGAAAGGCATGAAAAGACTTGAACAAAATAATGAAAAGTGAAATGAGCAGAACCAAGGGAACATTTCACATACATATATACACACACATACACACACACACATACATACATACATACATACATATGTATAGTAACAGCAATAATCTTTTAAGAAGGACTTTGAAGAAATAAGTTATTTTGACTATTATAAATACCAAAATTAACTATAAAGAACATATGAACAAAGGCACTATCTATATCTAGAGAAAGAACTGATATATAGAAGTATATATAGAATAATTTCACATGTGTGCATGTGTGTGTGTGTGTGTATGGTGTCTAATGGTAGCCATCTCTAGGGCAGGGGGAAGAAAAAAAAGAAACTTTACATGATACCTTTGCTGTATATTTGGAAGTTGTCCCTGGCAGATTTGCAGTTTCATGGGCAATCATGTTTTTTATTGTATTGTGTTATGGAAATGCTTGATTTGTTCTGTGAATTGAAAATAAAATAAATTTTTTTAAATTTAAAAAAGAAAAAAAAAGGGGTAACATGGTCAGACCTGTACATTACGAAGATAATTTTGATAGCTGAGCGGCAAACGATTTTGAGTAAGAAGGGACTTGAGGCTGGAACACCAATTAGCAATCTATTTCAATAGTACATACATGAAGTGATATGGGGGTGGCAATGCCAGAGGATAGAGAAGATGAGGAGGAGGATCTCATATCAGAGATGCTGCGAGGTAGAATTGACAAGACTTGGCAACAGGTTATTGGAATCAATAATGACAGCTAGGTTGTGAGCCTAGGTGCTTGGAGGCTGATGGTATTCTCAACAGTAATAGAGAAGTTAAGAAGAGGGCGGAGTTTAGGGGTAAAGATAAGTATTTCTGAATATTGAATTGAAGATGTCTTACAGGATATCCAGTGTGGTTGGAGATTTGAGGTTGGGGGTCAAGAGAAAGAATTGGGCTGGATACATAGATCTGAACTTCATCTACATAGAGAAGATAGTTAACTCCAGACCCTGGCAGTAGCCTTGAAATGTACCAAAGTACATTCAATGAATCTCATACATGAGGGGCCCTATCTCCCACCACAAGGTGATTTCCTTGGGTTTTTCCATGTGTGAGGAGCTTTTGGAGCATGCCCAGTTCCCATAGCGTGGAGACTGCTGGAAAGGCAGCCCAGTCCTGGGCGTGTCCAGATCTCCTAACATGAGGCGCTCTATATCCCTGAGCATGTGGGCGGGTATAGCCTCCTTTGCTGCTGCTTGGTTAGTATAGGATACATCTTAACACCAGCCATCATGAGAGGGTCACTTTCTTTCTGTCTCAAGTTCTTTCCTAAATGTTACTTCCTGTTGTATTCAGAAGATAAAGAAAAAAGTTCACCCACAGCATAGGCACAATGAATTGGAACAGTGATTCCAAGAAATAGGCCTGGTGATGTTTTTGTTTGTTCTGTGTTGTTTTCCTTTTTCAAGTTTGGAAATTGAGAGGTGATATGCACTACGTCTATTAGACCCAAAGTTTGAGCCATGATGACCCTAAGAGTCAAGATTCCAGGCAAGATGTTGCAACCAGCCAGCCAGCAGGGAAGCCCTGAGAAACCAGAGAGTCTTGGACTCAAGTATCAGGGGGCCTTTAGATTTGGAACTTGGGACTGTGCTCTATAGAAATCAAATTAAGCTATGATCCCTTCTCTTCTCCTGAGATTCTGGTGGTATAGAGGAAGGATTATGCTTTCTATATGTTGGGGAAGTATGTATGTATATTTATTATTATACTTTTCAAGTAAATATTCCTTTGTAAAAGTTGATCCAAGTGTTGGTGGCTAAGTGGAACTGAAATACAGGGAACATTTCCTAAAAATAAGGTAATATCATCAGTGGGGGCTGGAGTCAGTGCAGGAGAGCTTAGATACCCCCCCACACACCCTTTAAGAATACCAGAGAATCCTGGAGGAGGGATGAAATGCAACCTGCTTGGCCTTCTGATAGTGGGGCCAGGGGAGTCAGTGTTAGGTGT